GTGCCACCCCTCACGCAGATCCGCGGGGTCAGGGTCCAAAAACACAGGGGATTTGCCACATTTCTGAAATTCGGTGCCACCCTTCACGCACATCCATCGCAAGGCGTGGTAACCCAAACTGCGAGAACTCCCTCGGCCCTTTAATCGCAAGGTGTGGTAACCAAGCCCGTAAACCATACACGTCTTACCAATCGCCAGGTGTGGTAACCCCTCTTGTGATCAGTTGGTTTTGCTGATTGCGAAATCGGCTTCGCATGAAGTTTCGATACTGCTTCACGACAGCGCCAAGGCCTCATGACTTAGCTCTTCCATGGCCCATTCTCCGAGAGAGGGGGCCGGCGGCAGGGGGCGAAGCCCTTACGGATCTCATCTGATATGAATAAGATGTCACACCGCTAACCCCGCCAGGAACCCATGAAACTGGCGACGATTTCGCAGTTCGCGGCCCACAGCGACGGCGAGGTCTCATCAAAATAAAACGTCACTCCGCTGAACCCCCCAAGAGCCCACGAAAGTGGCAACGCTTGAACAGATCGCAACCCCCAGCAGCGGCGACATCTCAGTCGGTCTGAGTAGGACGTCACTCACTCCGCTGTACCTCGCAGGAGCCCATGAAAGTGGCGGGGGCTTCGCAGTTCGCAGCCCATAGCGACGCCGAGGACTCATCATATCTGAATCAGACGTCGCTCCACTGGACCTCCCAGCAGGCCACGAAACTGGCGACGGCTGAGCAGCTCGCAGCCCCCAGCGGCGGCGAGATCTCATCTGATCTGACTAGGACATCGGTCCGCTGTACCTCGCAGGAGCCCATGAAAGTGGCGACGATTTCGCAGTTCGCAGCCCGCAATGGCGGCGAGGCCCCATCCGATCTGAATAGGACGTCGCTCCACTGGAGCTCCCAGGAGCCAACGAAAGTGGCGACGGTTGCGCAGCTCGCAGCCTCCAGCGACGGCGAAGTCCCATCTGATCTGAAGAGGACGTCACTCCGCTGGAACAGCTTCGCAATCTGCACTCCAAGGCGACGGCGACGTCTCATCTGATCTGCATACGGCGTCAGCCCGCTGGACCTCCCAGGAGCCAACGAAAGTGGCGACAGCTTCGCAGTTCGCAGCCCCCCGGGGGTGGAGAGGAGGCACGCAGAAGGCAGGAGGAGGGAGGCGGGAGGAGGTTGCGATCGCAGCGCCCTGCTCAGCACGAGAAACCAACGCAGCAGAAGGGTTGGGTGAAACCCCCACTGCCGCCTGCCGATGCCTGTCGGCGTCCACGCGCCGGCCGCACGATGGGTAGGCGCTGGCGCCAGACCAGGGCACGCGTGTCGCTGCAAGTGTGCGTGGATGCGAGGGTTGGGCGGGAGGGCTGCTGTGCCTGAGTGTATAATGACGACAACAATATAAAGTGCACGCCGTCCTGGACGGAAGGTGGGGGCGGTTTGGGGGGGGCGAATCTTTACGCGGCTCAGCGCCCCAAGCCTCTGCATTCGGTCGGGGGCCCGTGCCTCCACCGTCGACCGCGGTCGGGGCCCGTGCCCTCGCCGCGGCGCAGCGCCAACCCCGCAGGCCCGTGCCTGGGTGGCTGCATTTGTCCCTGTCTTCCTGTTCGCGGTCGGGGCCCGGTGCCCTCAACGCCGAACGAGCACCGCAAGCCCGTGCCTGGGTGGCTGTTCCTTTCGCGTGCGCGGTCGGAGCCCGTGCCCTCGCCGCTGAGACCCCGCAGGCCCGTGCCCTCGCCGCAAAGCTACCGCCACAGGCCCGTGCCTGGGCGGTCCTGCCCGTTGCGTTCGCGGTCGGGGCGTGTGCCCTCGCAGCCGAACTACCACCGCAAGCCCGTGCTTGGGTGGCCGCTCCGTTTGCGTACGCGGCCGGGGCCAGTGCCCACGGCCCTCCTTCCAGAGCAGGGTTCGTGCCGTCGCAAGCAGGCCCGTGCCCGAGGTTCTGGGCCGGGCCTTGTAGCTCGCCCGAACGCACTGTCACACAATGCGGTTACTGTTTGTGCTTTCACCGTGCGTGCAACGCGCTGCGCGCCTGGCACGCTGAGAAAAAGCATAGCTGTTCCTTAGGTGATTCAAAGTTGTCGGGGTTCTTGACTTGTTCGACCTTCTGGCGCTCCAAGATGCCCCAAAAGGCCCCCAAGACCGCCCCATGACGGCCCCCAAGAGGGCCCCAACGCGGCCCAAAAGGCGCCCGAAATGGCCCAATCAGGCCCAAGAAAGCCCGGACCGACAATTCGAGAATTCCGCCCCAAGATGCCCCCAGGAGGCCCCAAGAGGCCCCCAAGAGGCCCCAAGAGGCCCCCAGGAGGCCCTCAAGATGCCCCAAGCGGCCTCAAACCGGCTTCCAAGAGGCTACAAAACTGCCTCCACGAAACACCCGAGAGGCCTCCCGCGACATCCAAACGAACATCCCAGAGGTCTCTGACCCACAACCCAGGCACGGTGGCGGGATGGGTCGAAGGCCAGTCAAGAGAAGAGTTGGGGGAGAAGGAGGGGGAAAGGGGATGATTCCAGGATGATGGATGATGGAGGGAGGGGGAAGCAGGAAGGGAGGGAGCAACGGAGAGGGCGAGGAGAAGATAGCAAGAGCAGGTAAAGGCTCATAGGGGACATATCCCAATCCTACAGCGGAAGAAAACTGGTGAGCCACCCCTGCGTGAGAGTAGAAATACAAGGCCTCGGCCTTCACCAGAGGCCTGGGGCGTCTCTCCAGTAAAACTTTCGAGAGGGGTGACATCGGGAATTCCACGAAGGCTCGTGGCGGAATGCATCCGTACCCACCCCATGATCGCTCGGGCACGCCGCAGAATGGCGAAAGTGTATTCCAGCGCAGGGACACAACCGTGGGCAAGCAAGAAGGCTTGCGCCTGCTGACCTGGGCCACTCGCTTCGCTCCTGGACCTTACCCGAGCAGCATGACTTCTTGCAAATGTGCGGGGCTGCGACTATCCCTCGCAATCGATCCCACGCGATGGCCCCCAACCCCCAATACAATCGATCCCCCGCAATGGTTAAACGACGGACCACAATTCGATCCCAGGGCCCCTCCGTTGCATCATCCCGGCCAGGCGCTCTTGCAAAATCCAGCCAAGGTGGACGTTTGATTGATAAAGTTTTATGGACATGTTGTTACAAGCTACAGGTGAAGACAATTCGCCAGCCCAACGGGCCAAAGGCGTGCTAAGATCTCCGGTAACAAATTACCAATCTTCTCATTCGCGCGCGCGCGCGTGGCGGCCCCTGGGGTCCCGGAGGGAAAAGAGTAGCCCAGGCAACTCCTCGCAAATCCCCGTCAAAGATGCCGAATCTCCTCGGCAATGGCCTGGGGGCATCTGGAACCGTCCAGGAGCGGCCCAATGAGTCGACAAATAGTTGGCAGGCCCTACGACCAGAAGTCTTCAGCGTCCCAAGGCGGCCCAAGATGGCCTCACGATGGCCCTCGATGCCCCCAACACACACTCGAGGATTCCAAGAGGCGTCCCAAGAGGCAAAAGTCATTCACTTTCCTCGGGTTTTTTGAGGGTTGCAGCCTTCTCGCCTTTTCTGCTTTCCGACGCTGCGAGAGGGCCCAAGAGGCCTCCAAGACTGCCCCGACACGCCCAAGAGGCTCCACAGGATGGTCCCACGATGGCCCAAGACGGCTCCAAGACAGCCCAAGAGGCGGCCACACGGGCCCAAGACATGACGGCCCAAGATTTGACCGCAAATCACACCAAGCACCCCAAGATGGCCTCCAGACGGCCCAAGAGGCCGCCAAGACGGCCCAAGAGGCTTCCAAGAGGCCTCCCAAGAAGTCCCCACGAGACAAAAATCGTTGATTTTCCGGAGTTTCTTGGAGGTTTTAGCCTTCTCGCCTTTTCTGCTTTCCGACGCTCTAAGGTAGCCCCGGAGGCCACCCCCAAGTCGGCCGGAGAGGCCCCCAAGAGGGCCCCCAGACGGTCCAATACGGCCCCAAAGCGGCCCCAGAGTCGCCCAAGATCGCCCAAGAGGGCCCCAAGAAAGCCCCGAGAGGGGACCAAGAGGGGGAACACGAATCACCGATTCGAGCCTTGCGCCCCAAGAGGCCCCCAGGAGGCCAAGATGCCCCCAAGAGAGTCCAGAAGGCCCCCTGGAGGCCCCACGAGGCCCCCAAGAGGCTCCAAAAGGGGGCTCCAACAGGCCGCCAGTCGGCCCCCAAGAGGCCCCAAGAGGCCACGAACGCGCAGGCAAACGCCTGCGATGGCACAATCCTGGCCGGTTGAGTGAGCGAAGCCATTCAATAATTGAGCGCTGCAAGCCTGCCCGCAGTCCAATATGGAAACCCTCGAGGGCCCCTGTCTCGCAACTGCTTTGATGCTACACCCACGGTGTTGGATGGTGTTCAATTGGTCTGGCTTCGGTTTGTCAGTGTGGTTTCCTCTCGGCTTCAACCCCGGAGGATGAGGCAATTCAATGTCGTGTGCTCTGGGGAGTCGGTCAGCTGGCGTTCTCTGACGTCAGCGGCCTCGAGAATACCAGGGTTAAAACCTTGCTTGGCCTGCACCACCTGCAGCTCCGCAAGCCCAGGAGCGAGGCAAAACCAGAGAGCAGTAGCTAGCAAGATATTGAAATCAACTTACACAAGTATGCGCGTGCACTCCAAAGATCCTAGACAGCCAAAGAAACAGCCAAGAAAATCCTAGACATCCGAAGATGGGATTTGAACAGTCTGCGACCTCGGAGGCCCCGACTCCTTTCCGGGGGGCACAACTTGTCGTGCTGGTTCCATGTGTTACGGCCCAGGGGTCCGAAAACGGCACCCTTCTGTCAAAATTCGAAAAGCGCGGCGCGATTCACACTTCAGCAATACATCGGCTGGATGTCTCGGAGCGTACTACGACCAAGACTGGGAATTGCTTCGGGGCCACAACTTGGGCCGCGCCTCCAGAACACTCACGGCGACGCGCAGCTGCTTGAATACATCGGAGGCGAGAAAACATTCCAACAACCACCGAAAACATACGACGGCAGGAGGCGAAGGCCGGGAGGAGGCCTGCGTTTTGGCCTCGCAGGAGAGGGCCAGCTCGCGCGAGTGCTGCAGCGCCAGGCAGAACGCAAAGGCCTTCTCGAGCACCTGGCTTTTGGGGCACATCGATGTACGGCAAATTCGCGCCCTGGCCATTTCAAACATGGTTTTTGAGACCAGTGGATCGTTCAACCTGGGGCGACGCGGCTCTTCCACAGATCTCTCGACATCGGTCGACTCCGAACCACTGGTGTCGTTCAAGCTTGAACGACCGCGCTGAGGTCGCCGCCGCGTCGGCATGGCGCGAACTGGCCGAACGTGGTTGCAGCGATGCTGCCTCCTTTTGCCCCCGCCAAAGCGGGCGAGACGAGAGGAGAGAACTAAGAGGAGGAGGATACGATACGATACGCATACCCGCGGCGCCATGTTGTCTGACTGTCCCGGCAGTGTTCTACTCACGTTTACTTGAACATCGCGCACGCGTGGGTCTGGAAACCACAAGAATTTCTGAAGGCTGACGACGTGAAGCCCTTTGACTCAAGAAGAAGATGCATGACCCATATCCTATGCACGAGAACCGCATCTTAGGCCCGACACGGGGCCAGCCTGGCCCAGGCAACCCCACACGAGGCCTCATCCTCCGTGACTACCTGGACAGATGTAAGGGGAGCACCATGAAACTGCGTGGGAAGCAGCAGGCGTGTTAGGTGATTGAGGCCGTGAACCGTTCGGCCAATGACCTGCTATTTCAGTATGCTGGGGATCCTCGGGCAATCGACGACGCGAAACAAAACGGAACTGTTTCTCTGTATGTGGGCCCATGAACTCGATCATCTGGTAATTCCAACACTTCCGAATCCGCACTTCCGATGGCACAAGTTTCTGAAGCCACTGCCGCAGCAGAGTTCCAAGGGTTGTCCGAAACCATTACTTCGGCAAGGTCAACAGGAAGGTCTGAACCCACGACTTCAGCAAGGCCTCCAAGAAAGGTCTGCAACCCCCCATCCATGTATGCTGCTGAGGATCGGCCATGTCTGCGATTGGCGTTCGGCGCCTGGCTGATGCCCTCCACCAACGGCTTGCGACATCCTGGGCCCCGAGCTGCCACCATGAGTTGGCTGCGATCTCTGCTAAACACGTTGAAAATGGCGGCAGAACAGCGCGAGCCCGCACTTCCGAGACACTGCACCTCCGCAGTCTGTCCAAGCCCATGGTAATCCTGCGCGGTCCCGGGCCCCGACCGCGCCGCCATTCGCCAGAAGTCCCGTGATCGAGCCTCCCATGGCCGACGTGTCATATGCGAGGCGGCTCGAGCTCGCGCCGCCCCTTCCACTCGGCATTGGCCCTGGCGGCGTGGGCGACGGCTTGCTCGCTCACCATGGCGACCACTGCGCAACCTGACGACCGGAGAGCTGCGTCGAAAGCCACTCCTGCGATGCCGCGGATCTCCTGCCTGAGCTCCATGACATGCTTCATAGAAGGCACAAAGGGTTTCCTTTGCGGCTCGCTGGCGCCCCTGGCCAGATCCGCGGGCGCTTCGGCCGCGCCGCCTTCCGCGCGCCCTTTCTCCCTCGAGTCGGGGCGGGCCGACGCCTCGCATCCCCCCCTCAACAATTCAAAACTTCGGGCGCGACGCATCCGAGGGAAAGGTTTTGGGAAATGCAATCCCCGACTGAGCCGAAACAACTACGTGCTCAACGCGACTGCGGAGTCGGCCTCTGGGCGTGTTGGGCACCGCCAGTCGCCCATTGTCTCAAGCCCCTTAGATCTGTGAGACCTCCCTCAGATGCATCTGCCGTAGCTGTGAGACTCTTCGATGTCTTTGCGGGCGTTTTGCGCGTCCTTGACTTCACCGCGCAAGATGATCTGCATGTTGTGACCATTGGCCTTGCGTTCCACTAGGGCCCGATAAGAGTTGAGCTTGAAGCCGCGGGGGGGGGGGGGGGGGGGCGGCGGTGCCCTGGATCGCGCGCACGAGGATGCATTCACTTTCAGCTTCGGGATGATGTGGCTCAGGTAAGAGAAGTTATATGTGATCGTGATATGTGAAACCCGCGGCTATGGGGATCGATGGGGCAAAGAAACGGAGACTCGTGGGGCGCACCTGCGCTGAGCTCCCGAATAGAGCGCCAAGACGAAACCTCCCCCCCAGACGTCGAAGAAACTCGCGGCCCAACGGGTCCCCTCATGGAGACACAAGCGGTAGTCGAACTCTTCTGCCCAAGCATTCGGGTCGTCGCCAATCTGCCCGCTCGTCTGCAATGCGGGAGCCTCGCCTGCAAACTGGTCGAAAACCGCCGCGATGCACTGGCAATGAAAGCGGCGATGAAGCAGTATGCTTGGCAACCGCTTGATCTTGCGCACCGCCAGCTGCCCGCGGGCGGGGAGGATGCGCCACCTGCGAAGCGCCTGTGAATTTCGGAGCGGCCGAGCATGCAGACCAGCGTTGGAAGTGACAGCCCCCTTTTTCATCAGAAACCCCAGCAATTGACAAGCCAGGAAAGCATTCGTCGGCATCCTCTTGGTCGCAGCGCAAGACCTCCCAACGCCGCGACGCCACTCTCGATAGCTTTGCCCAAAGCCATGTAGACCACGCCAGTGCCAGCCAAGAGCTATGACATATTGGCCCGCGCGCACACCTCGAAGGCCAAACTCCACCCGGGTCGCGTTGGGGCCACGCGCGCGGCGCCTCGCCCCTAGATGTCGGGCTCCAGTCTGGACCAAGCCGCAGCTGCTTGGGCGACTCTTTTGGAGACTGTTGTTTGGCTGGTTTGGTCCCGCACAAGGCACGGCGTCTTTCTTCTGGCTGGTTTGTCCGGACTTCCACGCATCTAAAACGTTGCACATTGTTGCCCAGTCGTTGCGCCCCCGCGTCGGGTTGCCCCCAGCGCCCCTGAACCTGAGAAGCATCTAATAATTCGACGCCGAAGCAAACGTCTGCAAAGCTGCCATTGACAATCAAATTCTCGGCCCCGAAAACGAGTCTCGCTGTAGCATCGGTCGAAGACGACCACGAACTGTCGATGTGCATTGCAAGATCCGCAGCGACCCCCCGTTCTTGCAGGCAGACGCCTCGGGCTCGTTCTCTACGGGCATTCAAACTTCACTGAGAATCAGCACTGATTCGCGCAATCCCAGAGGTCCTCCCGGACCAAAACCTTCGACTGCTCGGGCCAATTCCGAAGTGAAGGGCGCGGGGGAGCGTTCGCCATGTCGGGCAACTCATGCGCATGGGCGTTCCTGGCCTGGCGGCCGTAACTGTGCGAGCTTAGCTCCTTCCCCCGCCCGATATCTGAGGGAACGATGATAATGTACAGGTAGAGATCGATCATGCGCGTCGAATCAATAGTTTGCTAATTATCTGAGACCCCCCACGAGATTCGCCTCGCCGGACCCCGTTCCGCGAGGACTTGGCCGGCGGGTGGTTGCGACGTCACGTTTTGTTGTCGAAGGGCTTCAGGATTGCATGATGATTTGCCATCGAGTCTGTGAGTTTCTTGATGAGAGTGCCATATGAATCACGTAGCCCTGTCGAGCCCTGCTCTATTGCCTGCGCGCAAGTGGCCTTGCGTTTGACTGGCGTCGTCCAAGGAGCAATTTAGCACGCCCAAGTGCCAACTGGCTGTTCCCTGAGGAACATGCATTGGAAGTCGTCTTTCCTACCTTCCCGCAGAAGGTGGCACGGGGAAGTTTTCCCCCTGTGGCGTTTGCACCCGGCGTCGCGGTTGATCTCGGGAATAAAAATGCGAAGGCAAGCCCGCGATCTTGCAATTGGGTTGTAGCGTGACTATTGCGACAAACCGCGCGGGCAGATAATGCTCCACAGCCTGCTGCGCTCGTGGGCTGCAAAAGTCAATGTTGGCACGTTTGTCTAGGTTGCCTCCAGAAGTAAGCAATCTTGTAAATGCGAATTACTGCGCCGCCAGTGCCTCCGCATAGTTCCACAGCGTCTACACAACGGCCCCTTCCATGGCCGAGGGCAAAGCCACTTGGTAGCGTGAAAAAGACGCTGCCGTCGTCTCAGTCCAGATCTTCTACTGCGAGCGTCGGGGAGCAATGCGGAATCTCCAAAAAGCCTTTGAGGTCGTCACCACAATCGCCGTGCCGTCTCCAACCTGTTTTGGTACCCTTTTTCGGTTTGATGCCAGCTCCCCTATCAGGCTTGCGCTTCTCTCGTTGCTTTCTCCGGGCGTCGGTTGGTAATGCTGATTGCAAGACTGGCGCGTTCGCCGGCGTAGAAAAAGTTGGCACTGCGGGCGGGCCCCCGTCGCCAAGACCAATCGAGAGGGGAGGAGATCGATCATCTCCGATGAACGCAACTCGTTTCCCGCGGCTTGGCGGCGCACCCGCGTGTCCGAGCAAAGCTGGGGGAGCTGATCCCCAATGCAGTCTCGCACGTAGATTGCGGACTCCGTTGGGTAACGGAACCTTCCAAGTATAACCGGTCGGTTGGTCCTTGACTTTGATACTTTCAACCACTTTCTGTGTGTCAAGGTCAAGTGTAAACCGGCGTGCTCCGTCGCCCCGGCACGGTCTGCTGTCGCCGGGCTGCATGTGGTTGTGCACATGCGCAGCGGTGCGAGTGAACGCTTGCCCTTGCAGAGTCGGTCCACAAGTTACGCCGTCAGGGTTGTCGCTGTCTTGCAACGCCATTCGGCGCGCTGCTGGTCGCGCCCGTGCCAGTCCAGGAAATGTTACTAAATATTCATGCACTTACATCACCATGGCCCATAGCGTTGTTGGTATTCTCGTACGCGATATATATATATACATGTATATATATGTATAAACATGTATGTGTAGATGTATGTATATATGTGCATATAAGAATCGCAGGGCCGCTCGTTGGCACGATCAAACTTGATGTCGACACGGCAGAGACGCATCCGCATTTCTCTGAGTTTAAGGCGTTGGGGGGGCCTCTTGACTTGGAAAACACGTCCAGCAACATCCGCGCGGTCCTACCATGACTATTTGCATCCTGAGAGCATGTGCTTGAGTCAAGATGTAAACTCCCATAGTGTAGAGCAGCCCGCTCGCTCGGCAATCTAACATGCCAGTCAGCGGGTGCGGCCACCAAGAGCAATGCGTAGTCTCCAGATAACAAT